TCCCTCCAGCAGGTCGCGGACCGCATCAACAGCCCTTACAGGAGGGGAGGCTCCCGTGAGCCACTGGCCAGGCCCCATTTGGGGCTGTCCTCATGGCAGGGGCATGCTATGGGCTCGCTTGTGGCTTGGAGGCTAGGGCATGGTGAGCCACAGCATCGCTCTGCTCCTGCAGCATCCTAAACAACTACCTGATCTGGAACCTGGTGCAGAAGACAGCCTCCAGCCTGGACCAGCGCTTTGAGACAGCCCAGGAGAGGCTGCTGGAGACACTCTATGGCACCAGGAAGGTAACAGGGACAGAGCCCCCTCTGCCCCCAGCCTGGAAGGAGACAGAACCACCTCTGCCCTTGGGATGCTCTGGATGCTGCAGAGAGAACACAGGGATCATCTTTTGGGGTGGGGGTTTAGCTGCTGAGCATCTCCCCCTTGGGGAGGGGGCAGAGCTGGGCTGGGTGAAGGAAGGAAGCAGGGGAGGGGACTGGAGGTCTCACAGACCCCCATCTTGCTCCCACAGTCCTGCACACCTCGCTGGCAAACCTGCATCTCCAACACAGATGACACACTGGGCTTCGCTCTGGGCTCCCTCTTTGTCAAAGCCACCTTCGACAGGGACAGCAAAGCCATTGTGAGGACACTTCTTCCCCTGTCCCCTCCCCCTCAGCATCCATGGGAATTCCTCCCCTTCCCCCAGCCAAATCCTAGGGCTGGAAGGCAGGGAGCGGGAAAATGGGACACCCAGCCCTGGAGAGATCCCACCCTGCCCACCCTATCCCTGTCCAAGGGACTGTTGGGGACAGGGGGCTTCATTCCCTCCCCAGGCTGAGGAAATGATCAGCGAGATCCGGGCAGCCTTTGAAGTGTCCCTGGACCAGCTAGACTGGATGGATGAGGCAACCAGACAGGCTGCAAAGGAAAAGGTGACCCTGGCAGGGGCAGCGGGTGGAAGACCTCCCCTTGTCCTGGTAAGCCTCCAGCTCCATCTCACTGCCAGGGCCTCTCCCCACACAGGCAGATGCCATCTACGACATGATCGGCTTCCCTGACTTCATCCTAGACAACAAGGAGCTGGATGATGTCTATGATGGGGTAGGGGAGGACCCAGCTTGTGGGGAGGGGGTGCAACCCCTCCTTATACCAAGCCCTGGCAGGGCAATGTCCCTGTTTGGGGGACCCATTTGGGATGGGGCACTGTGTGGAGTCACCCTGGTACCACTGGTGGGGGGAACCACACAGTGGGCTCCTCTTCATCCTTCCTCCTCCTCACCAGTATGAGGTCTCGGAGGACTCCTTCTTCCAGAACATGCTCAACTTCTACAACTTCTCTGCCAAAGTGATGGCCGACCAGCTCCGGAAACCCCCCAACCGCGACCAGTAAGGGAGAGCCTGGGGGGAGCAGAAGATATGACACCAGCAGTGCCACAGCACTGTCCCCAGCATGGCCTGGGTGGCACTGCTTCACTGCAGGGAAGGTCTCACCGTGGGGTAGCGCAGCACTGTATATCACCTGGGGTGGCTCTGGCTTGTCCGCAGGACAGGATCCTTTGGTCATGGAGTGGGGGTAAAGGTGCCAGCCCTGGGCAGGGCAGCACAGGGCACCCATGGTGGGAAACAGCACAGGAGGGTGGCGGGGCAGCAGGGAGAGGGGACACATCCCTGCCTGCCTGTGTCCCACCTCCCTGCCCCAGGTGGAGCATGACCCCACAGACCGTCAATGCCTACTACCTGCCCACCAAGAATGGGATCGTCTTCCCCGCTGGCATACTGCAGGCTCCCTTCTACGCCCGCAACCACCCCAAGTAAGCCTGGCACAGGGATGGGAGCATCTCCTTGGATGGCGGGGCATGGTCTGGATCAGGGCCAGCACTGCACAGAGTCCGCCACAGTCACAAAGCAAAGCTCTGGGAGGCTTGAGGGTCCCTCAAGGCTTTATATACTGCATCCAAGACAACCTGCAAAGTCCCTGTGGGGTCACCAGTGTCCCCAACAGGACTCATTCCCAGCTGGCTGCCAACTGGAGCAGAGACTCACTGGGTCCCCTGAACACAGATGGGGTGCCATTTGTGGGTGGGGTGCTCGGGCCAGGGCAGGCTGCAATGGCATCATCCTCCTGCACTTACCTGTCTCTCTCCTGTGGCCCCACAGAGCTCTTAATTTTGGTGGCATCGGTGTGGTGATGGGACATGAGCTGACCCATGCCTTCGATGACCAAGGTGAGAGCCCAATGGCAGTGCCAGCCCCAGCCCCCATCACCTTCCTGCCCCTTCCCCTCAACGTGGGGGAGGTGCCATGGGCTCACAGGTATCCTGCTTTGCCATCCATTGCATCATGCGTGCTCGTGCCCTCCTGGCCCCCCCTTCTATCATCCTGTCTCCCCAGGTGGCACCCGCCGATACCTCCCCCCGGCTTCTCTGTGCAGCTTTCGCTCCATCCGCTTGGTGAGGACACAGTGTCTGCAGCCCCCCTCATCCTCCTCCCCAAGGGGTGCGGGATGCATCCCTCTCACATCTGCTCTGCTTTGTGCCTTCACTGCAGCCCTGGAGCCGAGATGGGGTCAATGGGGGAATTTGGGGTGACCAATCTGGCTTGGGACAGTGGGGATGCACCAGGGGATTGCTGGGGACCCAAGCACAGTCTGAGCCCCATCCAGAGCAGGCACAGTGGGACCTTATCTCCCCTGGGCATGGACCCAAGGTGTCAGGTCCCCTGGTGTCTGCTGGGGCTGTCCCACCCTGCTTCATGACACCTGCAGCTGGGGCTTTGCAGAGGACCAGTGTTCCCTGGTCCCACCCTGCCCCATGGTTCTGTCCCACAGGACGGGAGTATGACAAGGAGGGCAACCTGCGGCCATGGTGGCAGAACTCTTCCCTGGAGGCCTTCAAGAACCGGACGGCGTGCATAACAGAGCAGTACAGCCACTACACTGTCCACCGTGAGAAGGTCCATGGCCGGCAGACACTGGGCGAGAA